ATCAGCGTTTGAAGACAAATTGTCCGAACCTAGTATGAAGCACCAGAAACAGAAAAGTACAATATAGTATTGAATTAAATATGGACACAAAAATCCCCCCCAATACTTTGCACCATACATAAAAAAGGAGATATCTTTGAATGTATAAAATATTTTCCACAGTACTATGTCACCGTATGGCACCATATCCAGAACGGATAGTAGGTAAATGCCAAGTTGGTTTCACAGGTGGTAAATAGACAATTCATCAAATTGCAACCCTGAAATAAATTTTAGAAAAAACATTAAAATATGGTATTGACACTCATCACATATTTATAGACTACAAAGCAGCCTACGACTTTGTGAATAGAATAAAAATGTTCAAAGCAACGAAAGAGCTAGGAATACCAAATCAGTTGGTAAATTTAACAAAACTAACTCTTGAAAAAGTTGCAAGTAGAGTACGAATTCAGGAGGAACTGCCTGAACCTTTTAAAAAGAAATAACGGGCTGCGTCAGGGAGACCCTCTCTCCTGTATACTGTTTAATCTGGCTCTGGAAAAAGAAAGACGTGTGTTACAAATCACAACCACTGGTTCAATATATAATAAATCAGTGCAAATCGTGGCCTATGCTGATAACATTGTTGGGAGAACGGAAAACGCTGTGCGAGAGGCGTGTATCACGCCCCTCGCACGCAACCACAAATCCTACGACCACGTGTTATAGAAAACGACGTCTTCGAAGTAGTGAACAAATTTGTATACCTGGGAGCGCTTTTTTTTGTATTTGTATTAACACTGAAACTAATACTACCGCAGAATTCGCACGGCCAACAGATGCTATTTGGGCTCAATCTTCTCCTTAAATCCACAATTATATCGAAAAATACAAAAATATTATTCTACAAAAATCCTAGTCGAAATTCGAAAGAAAAGTACTAAGGCGAATCTATAGAACAATTAATGACAGTGTGTGAATGTGAGTGTGGAGAAGACGATACAACTTCGAACTTTATAGAATATACCAGGAACCTAATATCGTAAAACATATTAAGATATGACGTCTGAGATGGATAGTGCATGTAATGCGGATGGAACAAAATAACCTAGCTAGAAAAACGCTCCTTGATAGACCCATTGGTCAGAGAAGAAGACCAAGACTCAGAACAAGGTTCCTTGATAACATCGATGAAGACATGAGAAATATGGAAATACGTGCTTGGTGGAGGAAGGCGAATGATAGGAATAAATGGAGAGAAATTCTTGAGGAGGCTAAGACATACGCAAGGTTGCAAAGTCAGAATGATGATGATTATGAAGTACAATATTGAAAAAAGCAGCTATGAAGCCCCTACTAGAGCTTCCTCTTTACACATAGTTATATGAAGGGACGTGAGAATAAACCATTATAGACTGCGAGAAAACCTGAGTAACATAATGGTTAGATTAGGATATAGTAATATAATAAATGGTACCTAGATACAGGCATAAAGTACCTTTCCAAGTGGACGATTTGCTCACGAGATTTATCGGAGAAAGCATTTGACATACACAGAGGGTCTAAAACTGCAGAAGAGTCAGGTACAGGAATATTCATTAGTGGTGAAAATTTAGACATTTTTATTCCATTTCTATGAACCAGTGATTTTTACAATTTTGCACAATGCAGAAGAAATTAATACGAGGGCTCTCGTACTGAAGCCGATCAAAATATGTAAAGCATGCCAGCTAAGCAGCCATGGGGCTACTTATAAGCCCTAAGGTTGACTTTAGGCTAGTGTGGAAATGCCGAAAGGAACTCGACATACTGGCCCGAAGTATGACAGTATTACACTGGCATGAGTTTCAGGCTACTAAGGTTACATCTAAAGTTTTTGGTTTTGGTTTACTAATGTAAAAATTTCTTTTATTACTCTAGATATCTAGATAGGTATATCCTAGAACATAGTGACTCATTTAGATAGTATTTGATGGCAAGCAGAAATAGGTTTCGAAGTAGTTTTTTCTGAACAATGGTTAATTTTTCTGTAAATTGCTTTCTTCTTTTTTTATCACCGGCTATCCATTATTGTTTATATTAAAATTTAATGTAGATATCTTTTAATAAACTTTGTCCGATAATATGACAAAACAAAAAACTGGTTTTTTAATGTCCATAGAATATCATCAACTTGACATGTTTCGCTATAACACCATCTCTTACAAAAGAGACATGTTAAATTGAAAACTCTTTTCAAATTCTTAACAGGGCATCGAGAATTCGAACATAGTTGAGTCTACGGAGGTTCCGAAACTGTTTCCTTGTGGCATTTTTAAGTTAAATATTATTTAATTTCTGACTAAACCACAATTAACAAAAGTAGGAATTACATGATACATTTGTTTTGACATTTGAATTTCTAATCCACAATTTTTTTAAATTAAAACTTATTAGACTTGTGTACAAATCTTATAGACATTAACCATATTTTGAGTGAAATTTTGAGAGGTGCTATTATTTCATCGGATTGATATCAAATTCTGTTTTTTCTATGATTATGTTATTAACTGTAGATGGTGTGTCTTTTACCTGGTATTAATTCGTTAATGTTGGTATATTATTATTGCTAATTTTTTCTTTCAGTATTGATAACCAGAGCCTGCTACATTCTATTAATGTGATAGACATTTTCAACATTTAGTAAGATGATGGCTGATTCTTTGATTTTCCTCTCTTTGTTGTCCGTTTCTTACCGATGCATCTTTTTATTGCACTCTATGCTCATTATCCCAGGCCTGTTTGCATACCTAGGATCTGTCAAAGTCTCTTTTTTAATTTGTGATTCATGTCCATTTATCCTAACACTTAGTGGTCTTGAAGTTTCCCCAAATAAAAAATTTTTCATTCACAAGGTATTTGATAAATGCAGTTCTTTGATTTCTCCTATTGGTTGTTGAGCTTGGTTTTGTAAAGAATAGATCTCAAGGTGTTGGTTGTTTTAAATATTGTGATGTATTTATTTTCTATCCGTTTTAGTTTTTCTGATAAACCTTTTACATATGGTATTATTGTTATCTTCTAATCACTTCTTTTAAGCATTTCTCTGAAGCAGTCCCTGAAGATCTAAATCGACATTGATCATTTTGCGATGGAGAATGAATATTTAGCGATATGTTTCGGAAAAGTCTTTGTCGAAAATTCCTGATCATCAGTTTAAAACCTGATTACAATTGATTACAATCACTGATTTGACGCTCCATATCTGTGATAGCTCTGGCTAAACCCATTATGGTGCATCCATACATAGTCGACAATAAGTCGTTTTATGTATTAATATGCGCATTTTCTCTGTGTTTAATAGAATATTTGTGCACTTTCCTTCTTAACTCAGTTTAATCGATATTACGTCATCTATAAGGATCTGTATCCATGTCTCTTCCTCCTATAAACCATGTTAATGTTTTTGGTTTATTAGTAGATTTAAGCCATGCGAGTCTCATTTACTCAAAAAAGTTCACTTATCCTAAATATTTATTGTACCAAAGGATTGGGCTCTGGACAGACTATTTCAATTTTATCATATAAATCCCTTTACTAAGTCCTAGTTGCTTTATATTCTTTTGGAAGCTCTTTAGAATAACACCACTAGTTGAGAAGATAATAGGTATTGTCTTGACACTACGCACACTCATTCTTGATTGTCTCCTCATTTCCATCTCAAGATTTCTATATTTGCCGATTATTTAGTTGCATTTAAAACGTAGATTGTTCTTAATATTGTTATTGCTATTCAGATTTAAGCTATACGGCTCGCATCTAAACATTCCGTTTATGTATTTGGCACCTAGGACTTTTCTATTGGTCCTTTGTGGCACGCGGCTATGTTTTAAACAATAGGCGGCGAGGTGCCAAACACGTATATGGAATGTTACTTTGGTGGGAAATTCATATACGCAATGTTAAATATTCGTAGACCCAAAAGACGACTTCTTATCTTCTTATTAAATTAATAAAAAGAGGGTAATTTTAAAATATTTATTAATTTATTAATAAAAGAAGTAAATCAATGCAGTAGGAAATAAAACAAAATATATTTAAATAAATAATAAAAAATTTTAAATTTTTAAAATGTAATATTTACACGAAATTCAATGTGTTTCTCCATTTTTAGTTGAATTTGTTTGATTTTCTGCGATGTTGGACGAAAATTTGTGACGCCTTTTAAACCTATTTTTAGGAGGTTTGGCAAATCTGCAAAAAATTTTCTTTTGCAGATTTTATTAATACGCTACAAGATAAAAATGTTTTATTTGGAACTGATTCATCAACGTTAAAATTATTGTACGAAAGATTATCCCATATTAAAACAAAAAGGGCTTGGGAAAGTTTTTTGAACATGGTAGGAAGTTCCTCGGGAAGCGATTTGAATACAAATGACATTGATACTAGAGGGTCTATTAGATTACCATTTGGACAACCACCTAATGTTCAACTTCCTAAGAAAAGATTTAAAAGGAGTCACAATCTTTCGTCCAACATCGCAGCAAATTAAACAAATGAAACTAAAAATGGCGAAGGACATTGAATTTCGTATAAATATTATATTTTAAAATTTTTAATTTTTTTATTATCTATTTAAATATATTTTGTTTAATTTCCTATTGCACTAATTTACTTTTTTTTTTAATAATACATTAACAAATATTTTAAAGTCACTCTCCTTTTCTAATTTTAATGAAAAGTCGTCTTTTTTGGTCTGCGAAAATTTAACATTCCGTATATAAATTTCGCAGCAAAGTAACATTCCATATACGTGTTTGGCACCTCGCCGCCTATTGGTTGACACATGGCCACGTGCCGCAAAGGACCAATAATAGAAAAGTCCTAGGTGCCAAATACATATACGGAATGTTTAGATGCATACGGCTCTTATTGCCTCTAATGGTTTTACATAATCTTGTAAAGATGTGTATTAAGACCTAACTGTTTGATGTTCTCTAAAGGGTCTTCGGAATGATACTAGTAGTGTACAGGATAATTATTGTTATTATTATTGTTATTTTTATTGTAATTTGTTTTTTATGTTAATAAATAGATCATTTACAAAGTTTCTATGACAATTTTCTGGAATAACCTACTAAGAAAAACTAAAATTTACAAATTCAAAACTGTGGATCATGAATTTTGTTTATAGTCTTTAATAAAATATATTTTTCTCCACAAGTTCCTCTGAAATCGTCGTAATCTAATGACCACACCATTACTCCTCCCAATTCATTGTCTCGGGCGTAGTTTACTTTTTCTGTTATCGATCTTTCGTCTTCAAATCCAACCCATTGATCGTCCCAATATCTGTGAGGTACTTTCTGCTGATCATCCCAGACATACGTAGAATTTAAATGAAATTCGCATATCTGAAAAACAAGAAAAAATAAAAAGGTGCCTATAAATAAATACAAAATTGAAAGAAGAATGAGGTATAAGATGAGATGAAAGGGAATTTCAATTGTCAAAGAAGAAGTGATCAGTGCAGTGGAACTTATCGGTATAAGAAATTCAATCGACAGTGAAATAGTGGCGCCTAGTAAACCTAAAAAGAGCTTACCAAGTCAAAATATCTCTACTTCGATTAGGTCATACCAATATTCCGCATAAGTACCTAATGACTAAGGAAGACATTCCAGTGTGTGAATATTGTCAAGTCAACGTGACTGTTAAACACCTAGTAAAAGAATGTGGAAAATACAGTGTGTCAATTTTAAATCTTACAATGGGCTAGATCTCACGAACAGAAGATGATATCGAAAAATGCTTGAAAACAGTTTCTAGGATAGTAAGGGTGAACTAAAATGGGATGAAAGAGAACTCACCCCCATCAACCCCCTATGCCCCACCCACAACAACTGAAAAAGTTTAAACTTGTGATACATAATTAAAAAGACTATAAAAAATGCTATCCAATAGTATAACTAATAATTATATAGGGTGAAGCAATAATTGTAAAACTTTGACTTAAATGAAAAATTTAATAAGGTTTTTGTTGAACTTGTTGAATTTGTTAAAAGTGTCAATTAAGTAAATTTATATAAGGTTGAATGCTCGAATAAATGAACTTTGATAAAATGAAAGGCAGATATCGAGTACTGTTTTATTAATTAAATTTTGCCCTAAAAAATACTTGCACTTCCTAGAGCATCTTCAGAGGCATCTGAAATAAGCCAAGAAACGTCTTTTTAAATAAAGAAATCGATTAACTTTGATAAAAAACTCGAAGTTATTGAATGATAAAAGTTTTTTTGTGATTAACGTTATAGACTTACTTCATCAAATTTTGGGCTATCCCAAAATGCAAACAATTGCAGAATGTCATAAACTTAAAATTAAACATAAAATTGAACATAACACTACACTAAACAAGGACAAACAGTTTGAAACAGTTTAAAATTATTTAAAAAATAGTGGAAGCTACATTCTGGTCGGCAACAGGAGAGATAATGTCTCCTGGTATTAACGGAAATATTAAGGTGACATTTGACATATGGCAGCTTGGATGGTCAATCACAATCATGGAGATGTGATCTGCACATTTCAAAATTCTATGTAACTAAGCATTGACCAAAGGTCCAACTGACACTACTATAGGAAATCAACTGATGAAATATGACATATAGAATATTTTAACTAGATTGCATAATCCAGATCTAACACTTAAATCTGTCTATAATACTTAGGGTGTTAGTTTGAGAGCAACTGAAGTGGACATAAAGTATGAATGCAAGAAATAGACTAAACAATATATTAGATAATGGGTGGTTGACAATAAAAGGGTCTACCAGGCACTATGAATACTGTAGAAAAGAAGTAGTCTGAATATGAAATTAAAATAATAAAAATTAAAAAACCAAAATTGAAAGTAGTGTATAAATGGCGTATAATTCAAGTAGTTCAGTTAAACCGCCATTCAATGGGAGAACTAAAATTAATATCTAAAAGCGTATCATCCATTAACTTCGAGTTTTTTTTATCGAAGTTAATCAATTTCTTCATTTAAAAAAATATTTCTTGGCTTATTTCAGAGGCCCCTGAAGATGCTCTAGGAAGCAAAAGTACTTGGGCAAGATTTAATTAATAAAACAGTGCTCGATATCTGCCTTTCATTTTATCAAAGTTTAATTAAGTAAATGTTCAACGTGTGTTCCGTTGTTTTGTAAACAATAATACAGTCTATTTTTAAATTCTGCACGAACTTTGGCAAATGTTGTTCCAGTAATAGCGCGACATGCTTGCGTAATTCTTTCTCGAAATTCCCCAAGTGTCGGAGGTTGAGTTTTATAAACAACTGACTTGAGGTAATCCCATAGAAAAAAGTCAGGTGACGGTAAGTCCGGTGATCTCGCTGGCCACTCAATAGAACTCCTCCTTTTAATCCATTTGTTCGGATAATTAGTATCCAACCAGTGCCTAACGGGAGCTGCATAGTGAGGTACTCCATCTTATTGGAAGTGCAGCAAATCTTCGTCTAGAGTTAGATTGCCGTGATCGTTCCTTTGGTTCTCTAATTCATGCACAATTAAAGGTTCGATGGTGTTTTCCAGCATATCGAGATAAATGTCGCTACTTAAATTGCCTGGTATGAACAAGAGGCCAATTATAGCATCGCCTAATATTCCTGTCCAAACATTCAGTTTTTCAGGATATTGAGTGTGACCTTCTCTGAATCGATGCGGGTTCGCATCACTCCAGTACCGACAGTTTTGTTTATTTACATTACCATTTAGCATAAAAGTACATTCATCAGTAAAACAAATATTTTTTAACATTCTCGGTTCAACGCGAATTCTTTCAGTCATGAGTTCACAAAACTCAATTCGTCGGTCTGGATCATCATCGACTAGTTCTTGAAGAATTTGTGTTTTATACGGGTGAAACTTGTACAGAATTTCAACAGCTTTCTAACCAACTCATGTGAAAGTCCTGTCTTTGCAGATACTGGACGTGTTGATGCAGTAAACTCTATTGCAAAAATTCCAAGGACCTCAATTTGGGATGCTTCATTCAGTATCTTGGGGCATCCCTTTTTTTTATTTTGCACTGACCCCGTTTCTCTAAACTTTTTAATTAAATTGAGAATGTACACCAGACTTACATTTTTGTCCGGATGCCTTTCATGAAATATTTGAGTTGTTCGTAAATAACACTGGTTCTGGGAGGCAAATATGAAAACGATCTCCTCGCGTTCAGATATACTGTAAACCATCGAGACAAATACAGCTGAATGTAGTGATCGTACTAATGATGAAAACTAATGACATTTAAACTTCTCAAATAAAACAAAAACTATTGAATCAGACGGAACCCAAAAAACAGATGTTTTCAACTTGTTTTGCAAAAACGGCAAAATAAGTTTTGATTTAACAAAAAAAATTCCGACGGGCCCTTATTATTAAAAATAATAGTCCGGGAGATTGCATTACAAATACAAAAGTCATAGTAAGCCGGCTGATATTAACACCCTGTATAATTATGAAACAAAAATTATACAGGGTCATCAACAGAATCAACAAAAACCTAATTAAATTTCCATTTAAGCCAAAGTTTCACAATTGTTGCTTCACCCTGTATAGTTATTATTTATACCAGTAGATAGCATTTTTTAGTCTTTTCAATGATGTATCACAAGTAGGGGTTTGCAATTATTTAAACTTTTGTATTTGTGGGTTTTTAGGGGTTTGATGGGGGTGAGTTCTCTTTCATGTTATTTTAGTTCCCCCTTACTATCCTAGAATCATTTTCAAGCATTTTTCGATATCAGCTTTTGTTCTTGAGATATAGACCATTGTAAGTTTGAAAATTGACACAGTGTACAGTGAACAGACATAATAACAATACTTCCAGTGATTTCAAAACAGTATTAGGTGAACATTTAAATACTAAAAACATAATATTAGCTTTCTTAAAGATACATCTTTATATAATTTCATAAATAATGTAAACTAATATCGCTAATGACGTAGGTGGTTAAAGCGACTATTTTTTGTAAATAAAAAAAACAAATAGAATATCTCGGTATTCTTTTAAAAGAAAAAAAATGGAGCCATTTTCTTCTTTTTTTTTAATCCGATGTAACTCGAATAGACAACCTAAATATATAACGCTCTAAAAATAAATATTCTCATTTGAAAACTGTATAATTATTTAAACAATATTTGTTCAAACACATTTAAACAATTTGTTTTTAATATTAACTTTATAATACGTTAATAAACGTGAACTTCACAATACTATAATTTTATGTTATTAAATTTAATTTATAGAATTGAATTAAAAATTATTATTTACTTCATATACAAAGTATCTTTTTGTTAAACAAATTAAATTTTCTTTTATAATTTTTTTATGATGCTTTAAAAAAAGGGATTTTCACAACAATATTATTTTATGTCATAAGAATAAAGTTAAATAAATTTAATTAAAAATTATTATTGATTATATATAGAAAATATCTTCTTTTTTTATTTTTTAATAATTATTCGTCTATAAAGACGTGCTTTCTTGCGCTGCTGACTGGAAGGATCTTCTATTACATAAATCAGTTTTATCAAAGTTGTACAAAAAGGGATGTAGGTACATACGTAAAATTATTAATAAAATTTTCGAGTATGAAAACTGTATTAAATAGGACTGGTTCAAAATAATTAGAAGATGTAGTAAAGGGTTATACAGATAATAGTCAAATTCAGTTTATAAAAAGTCTTACCAATATTGCTGTTACACACACTCGCGGTATTTATAGGCTTACCCTCGCGGTTGTTTCTCGTACGCAGGGAGCTGTCTTTACTGGTTTTACATACGTGTCTCGCGGTACGAACACTAATATCAAGAGATAGAGCACAGTTGTATCCAATTTAAAATAGGATTCGCAGTATTTTTTACCTAGGAACCTGGATTTCAGGCAATAATGATCAAACAACCGAAATAAGAGCTAGGATAGAAATAGTAAGAAATGCGTTTGTAAAAATGTAAACAATTCTCTGCAACAAAGATCTTAGATTAGAACTGAGAGTAAGAGCAATGGGATGCTTGAGAACACGATAAAAATAAGAAATAACTTATATGAGGTTGAATTCTCAAATAAATGAGTTACAATATCTGGAAAACGTAATGAGGGGACAGCGATATGAACTGCTAAGGCTAATAATACAGGGAAAGATAAGAGGAGGAAGGAGTATAAGAAGAAGGAGAGTGTCATGGTTGAAGAATTTAAGGGACTGGTTTAAATGCAGTTCTATAGAATTCTTTAGAGCAGCAGTAGATAAAGTAAAAATAGTGACGATGATATTTAACCTCCGATTGGGAGACGGCACTTAAAGAAGAAGAAGTATTTTTTGCGTAACTATCAGAGAGAGCGAGAGAGAGAGAGAGAGAGAGAGAGAGAGAGAGAGAGATGTGGCAGTCAACAGTCGAGAGAGACGGCGTCTGTTACTGACGGAAGTCAACAGTCAAGAGATATAACGTCTGTTGTTACCGGCAGTCAACAGTCGAGAGAAATTAGGTTTGGTGCTAGCGGCAGTCAAAAGTTGAGAGAGATTACGTCTGTTGCTAGCAGCAGTCAACAGTCGCGAGAGGGTCTTCTTCATTTGCTATTTTAAAACATTCTGTATTTCTAAAGGAATTGGGTTGAAGTGGGAGTAGGAATCATTACTAAGGGTTGGGTTAGCGAAAAAAAATGATTTTTGTTATTTTAAAAAATTAAACAAAAGTTAATAGCTGTATTAGTATTTTCCTCATAAGATTAATAATATTGCTTTGCGAATTATCCAAATATTAAAAAATATGTTCTGTATGAAATAAATATATTATTTTTAATTGAATTCTATAAATTAAATCTAATATTATAAAATTATATTGTTTTGAAGTTCATTTTTAGTAATCATAAAAAAATTATTGAAAATTTAATTTAAAAAAATTACACGTTTGGTTACTTTTTTTTTTAATTATTCAACATAGGAAAAAAGTATATAGTCTATATGTCTCCAATAATTCTTTTTTTTTATTTTTTAACTTGCTTTTTCATTAAGTAGCCATATTTCATTGCTATATTACTGTACGTTATACTAGAAATTGCTTAATCCATTATTGAATTATATAATCATGTGATACCGTCTGACATATTTGTGTCATTTACATTATACGGTTGTACTGTTTTAACAAAAAGGTCATACTATATTTCCATGCTTTGTTATTGCTATATCATAATATAGTTGAATGATTTATCGTGTTGCAATTTTAATATCGTTGTAGGTCTATCTTAAAATTTTCTATAATCATGATATCTATAATTTATAGCCTTATAGTTATGATATCTATCCATGTTTCTACATTTTATCTTCCAGAATTCGAATCGATGTTTATATATTATATATTAAACAAGTTTAAAGTTGCTATGGTGCATAACTTGGTCATTATCAATAAACAAATATAATTTTTCTATTTAGTACTTTTCATTTTTAGCTAATCGATTTTAAATACTACCAAACGTTTTACATGATTGAAATTCCTCTAGTCACATATATTAAACAGTTAATACTTACTTCATTATATCCTAAATATCCAGATTGTCCAGTATATGGCCCTTTATTACCACCACCGATGACATCTGCATAAAGAGAAGTATTGGTTTTATCAGCTAAGGTATAAGTTCTTCCATAGGTGACAATACCGAGGTTTATTTTTGCGGGATCTGCACCACTCAATATCCAATGTTGGATTCCTGCATCCTACCAAATTACTAGATTAATATACGAATGAATATGTATACAGCATATGCTGATGATATGCTGTACAAGTAAGTAAGGTAAGTACTATGTGTGTTATAAATAGGTGGTGGATGATATATTCTGGTATTCTAATTTATAGATGAATCACAGGTAACGACAAAGTGAACACTCGTTCGTTATATATGTGCGCTGTTTATTTATTGCTTCTAATTTATTAAGATTTTTCATTTTTGTTGCCCAGGTTTCATATCCATAAAACAAAGCAGACCAAACAATACTATTAGACATGTGGTCAATGACAGACTTTTACTGCACAGTACAGAACGCCAGTTAATTAAACTTTTTCGTTGCAAGTTCTATTTAGGTCGAAATTTCCTCGTCACTTTCAAGCTTGCAGTCAAGTCACCTAACTAGATACCTAAAGTGTTCTACCCTTACCAGGATTTTGTTATCTAATTTTAGTACTGAGTCTTCGATACTAATTTTTTCGACCACCATCCATTTTGTTTAAAGGTATTCTAGACTCTTTCCCATTATGGCGGTATCATCTGTGTATCTGATGTTATTATTGATTTCATCACCGATTAACAGCTTCTTGTCTCCATCGGTCTTTTGCCACTTTAATAATAATTTTTTTTCGGATTTCACTATGTATTTCATTGTGTTTCTATCTTCTTATTTCACTGTGTTCATGTGTTTTCTCAATTTTTTGAATAGTGCTGCCTCCGATGTGGTGTTACCGGCGTATTCTGAAAATATCAAGAATGGATCGCAAAACAAACGCACAAGTTCTCGAACAAGCAGCAAAACAATGCCAAGTTTTAAATTCCACAAAAATCAGGAGGTTAGAGAATTTAATGCAGGGCAAAATCAAAGACAAAAGAAGCGTAGGAAGACGTACAATCTCGTGGCTACACAAGTTGGTAAACAAAAAATTTTCTTTAACTGCAATTGGTGCGTATATTTGTATTATTTTTATATCTACTGGAAATGTAGCTAATTGGATTATCATTACTTAATCAGATAATGGGACACATTTTCGTACAGACTTTGCAAGCGATTTATTTATTACGACCACTACGCCGTTTTGATGGGACTCATCGTCGTTTATACCAGAGTATTATATCTGATAGTCTTGAGAACTATACTGTTCGTTGTTTGGCTATCTTCTTTCGCAGACTCCTAATACAGAGATATCGAGTCCGCTCATTGCAAGGAAGTTGTTTATAAGCGTTCCTACATCATATAACGTTTTAACATTACACGTGCATATTTTAATTCTTCGATTTTTATTTAACTTTGGTGAATTTTTATAGCGATTTCGCTTGATGACCAAGGAAGCCCTATGATCTTCCTATGTCCGCTCTTGCGGTCTGATTTCATGATCAGTAACTGATATTTCGTCGCTATTGCTTGACATGACCTTTTGGGACAATTTCTTATTCCAGTAACAAGGAGTGCCCTTAATCTCTTCTCAGTTCGTCCTCCCTAAGCTGTTGACCAACTAGAGGGGAATTGCGCATCCCGGCAGTCAGTCGGTAAAGTAAGGGGGAGTTGAAATATGCTTATTTAATGGTGGCAATACTCGCCATGTAACAAAACTTCCCTTGGGCTATTGTAGCATTTTATAAAATATGCTTTCCTAACGCATACACACTATACCCTCTAGTATCACCGCTGCTTGATCGGGGATTGCTTATTCAATATATTCGCAACAGACTTCACATCTGAAGGCCGTCCACTATCCGCCACCTGTGACCCCGCTGATAGCCTTCAGCTCTGCCTTGGCCTTAAAACACTACTCACAAAATTCGTCTTTTCAAATCAACTACGATTAAATTAAGTAATGAAGCGAAACCTGATGGTCACGGACGCTTTATTATCAAAAAGTGATGCGAGAAAATGTGTGTTGTTTAGTTTTTTGAAAACGGTTTTTGAGCACTTATTTCCTTTTAAGGTCACAGTTCACGATGTTCAAGTCAGATTAGATGTTTTTATACTAGTGTTGCCATTTTTCACAATATAAATAGTAATTTCCATAGATATATACATATAATATATATTTACATTAACTAGTAAGACTGCAACCTCAATTTTTTCATTACATCTGTAGTTCGGCCAATTTTCTTTTGTTTCTTGTTTTTTTTTCCAGGTCGTCGCACAAATACTCTTCATTCGAACTGGTCTTGGCATATACTGCCGCGAAAAGAACCAAATATGAAAGACTGTCATGTCGGGTTAACCGCCATAGGTAAATAGTTGTACTACGTTGGTTGTTTACGTTCGTTTTTACCCAGTATGAGTATTTTCAAATGCTATGTCATTTAGACACTGTTGGTGCTATACAATTTAGCACGTGTTGGGGACCAGATATTATCAACATAACAAGTTGATTACCTGAAATTCTTATAAAATGGAGATTGTTCGTTTTTTCCCTTACCCGTCAAGTATCCTAAACTGATCGAAAGCTACACGAAAAAAAAAAAATGAAAAAGCAATACATCAGGACAATGATACAATTTTTGCGATCTTAATCCATTAATTGGAAAATAATTCGCTTAAATATTAAAAGTTTAAATGATAATGGAATATCCCGTAACTTTAAATTGTAACTACGATTGCTTGACTGATGAAAATGAAAGATTGACGGGGCGGGAGGAGAAGAACAAAGTGAGAATTTTTAGTAGTAATATAGTGATGTAGAGTAGAGTAGATGCATATTGAGAGCAGGTGAAGAAGTGAAGAAGACGTGCTGAAATACTACGGCACAGTTTTTCACCCTACTTGTGCTTTTCATAACACACCTTCAAATTCGGTGCAGAAATAATGGTATCTTATGGAGATTTTCTTTCCTTGCACCAAAAAAAGATTTATAGAGCTAGTGAAAATAAAACAGCAATAAATTTGAGACCTTATTAAATAAATAAAAGGCTTATATCTCTCTTAATCTGCTTTATTATATTATGTGAAGGCCGCCTATCGAGGTAAAAACCATTAGCAAGAGTAAGAGTATTCTTAACAGTATATGATAATAGAAAACTTTCTTTAAAATGGTCAAATTAGATATTTGTTTTCTCATTGAATATACCAAAACATACCTGAGATAAAGTTACTGTTTTATTTTATATTATAAAAATTATAAAATTTTATTACTTACGACATTGTATGTACTATTAGCTTCATATTCGTAATCAATTTGAGCTGGGAAAAGTGGTGAAACATGTCCTACAAAATTCTCAAATGCTCCATGAAAATCAAAAACCATAACATTAAGCATATCCACCAACCTACAAAACAACAAAAGAGATTTTTCTTAAGGAAATATTAACTAGTGTTATACATTTACTAAAAATTCAGCTTTTACAGAGCACAGAACATTACATACTTCAAAAATAAATAGACTATCTACCAATCAATAAGAGATACTTAGAAACCAAATAGATTATCTACCAATCAATAAGAGATATACCTATAAATAGTATAATATCATTTAAATCCTATGGTTATGATATTATTGACAAGAAACTAACATCCAACAAGAAATATACGGCCTACCGTTAATTTGTAACGTCAATCACACCGCTTAACGAACCCTTGCGCAAGGAAAAATCGTACATGAGAAAATGCGAAGAATTTTAACAGCGACAAAACAAATATGAGGCAGCTTAAATGTACATAAAAAATCAAAAAGATAAAATGAAAAATACAACACATTGATAAAGGAAAGAAGAAACATTACAGACTGAAAAAAAAATCAAGTATGTGGACCTATCATATGGGGAAACTGTTTAACGATCAATGAGATGGTGCAGGTAAAACACATAGGAAACTGAAGAAAAATTAAAGAGTTTGGATCTATCATATAGGAGAACTGTTTATTGATTAATCACGTCGTGCAAGTAACAAATATATAGATAGTAAAACAGGGTCACAAATACCAAGAGAAGAAAAGCACACGGTCAATAGAAAGAAGTAAGGTACATATGAGTGGCCAACGGAAATACTGATTAAAAATCATAATTACTTATTAAAAATCATAATTTTGAAAGTATTGTGGAACTATTACTCCAGTCGTGAGATATAGAGATGCCACTGAACCTCTAAAAATCAGACGAATAAGCTGCATTTTTCTGTGTCAATTTTAGGATCCCAAAACAAAACGCAAAAAAGGTTACCACTTTTACTCCCCGGCTTCTCCTCCTCATACTTCCGTAGGAGGAAAACGGAAAAAAAAATCGATTTACCAAAAATTTGTACGCCGTAAAAACATATTTCTAATAAAAAATGTAGCTGAGATAATTTTAAACAAAAAATGTTTAATAGCACTTTTTGCTTAGAATAAACCGTTCTCTCAGAAACAAAGCTTAAAGCGACCGGCAATTTTGAATATCAGTAACGGGTGCGAAATAAATTTGAAATAAAATTTGTATCAACTCGACGGTAAAATTTCAATATCTTTTAATCAGAGTGTCTTATCGACAAAAATCAAATGCGTTTTAAAGGTGACGAATGCAGCTTTCTTATGCATTTTTTTTTTATTATGCCGCAAAGGAAGTAAGTTTTTATAAAGGTGTTAAATACATAACCGTTGCGCGATTTTTGCCATTTTTTATGATTCTCATGAGATCAATAAAATTTATGACATTCGTTGACAGGTTACTATGGAATTTCAATTGTTAGACCCTAATTTTAATAAGTACTTATAGTAGGTTATTGATTATGTACTTTAGAAAGGAACTACAACGTTAAAAGGGTTTTATGGTTTCATATGGTCAATAGACAGCCAAATATGAAAAAATCTCGGAGTAAAACCATTTAAAGCGGTGCGTTTTTGAGAATGGGGTGAATTTATCCCTAAGCCCTAGGGTGCATTTAGGTGAATTATATGCAGGTCTTGCACATATGCATTTACAAAAAAATTGTTTAAAATTAAATTTCCTATCGAAATATTTGTTCTTTTTTTGTTAAAATATATTCAAAAAACAAAGCAAAAATAGAACACACGCGATTTTTCTTTTTGCCCCATACATTTTTCCACGAAGGTATAGGTATAGGCATTGCTTTACAAAAAAAATGTTTGTCTTTCTTCTTTAAAATGACATTTTCTAGAAGTCTAGGATGCACAGTATCCGAGATACGATTTTTCAAAACTTGCTACTCACACAATTTTTGGGCCATTTTTACCATTTCTTGGCGAAAATTCTATAACTTTTTGCTACGTAGTTTTATGCATATACAATAGTACAATAAATAGAAAGAAAACATAATTACATTTAAAATGGTCTACTGTAGAAGATTCTAGGACTAATTTTAAGCCATACAAGGTTCTTCAAAGTTTTCTATTTTTAACGATTTTTGATATTTACGGAAAAATACAAAAACTGTATTCGAAAACTGCACTCTTTATCTTTAAAACCCATTTTAATTTTTGTCGATAGGATACTCTAATTAAAAGCTATTGAATTTGCACTGTCTAGTTGATACACATTTTATTTAAAAAATTGATTTCGCAAAATCGCCGGTTGCTTCAAGCGCTGTTTCTGAAAGAACAGTTCATTCTACTGAAAAGGTGGTAATATACATTTTTGCTTAACGTTATTAAACGTTACTCATCAACAACTAAAACTAAGCTACATTTCTGGTTTAAAACTTTTTTTCTAAGACGTACAGATTCCTGATAAATCGATGTTTTCCGTCCCCCACCCCTACGAGGGACGGTTTTATGAAAAAGCCCGGGGTTAAGTTGCCAACCTTTTTTCAATTTTAAGATTCAATTTCAATTCAGCATGTTCGTATTATTTTTAGAGATTCGGTGGCATTTTCGTCTCTGACGACTGCGACTGGACTATTCTTTCCTTGTATATTTAGGTATATACAAATAGTTGCAAGTATCACAATTTAACAAACCATATCTTGGTTACCGTTAATGCTAGAACATTTTACAATAGAGTATTTTGAAGTATAGAAAATAAGCTTTCTTGTTTATTTTGTAATGCATATACCTAAATGTACAATAAAAAAAAGTTATAATGAGAAATTTAAAAAATAGCCGTAAAAATTAGCAAAAATTGTTAAAAGTAGAAAACTTTAATGAACTGTTTTATGATTAAAATTTTACAGGTAATTGATTTTTTTTTTCAATTAAATGTACCACTGTATATACCTAAAACTTCGTAGAAAAAAGAAAATGGTGTGAATGGCGAACTTTGAAAAATGGTATCTGGGAGAATGTAAATCCTAAATACTTTTACCAAACGTCATTTTGAAGAGGACGGATAATAGTTTTATTCTATACCATGTTTTTTCTATACCTATACCTCTGTAAAAAAAATGTATACATTTTTTGTTTCGTTTTTTGAGAATATATTTTTGTGAAAAAAAAATGTTTTTTACTTTAAACGGTGACATTTCGATAGGAAGTTTTATTTTAAACAACTTTTCTATGAATGTATATGTACGGAAACTGCATAGAATTCACCCAAATGCACCCTAGTGTATAGAGACAGATTCACCTCTTTTTCAAAAACGTACCTCTTTACATGGTAGCCTGGGACATGAAATTATGATTGGCAGAGATAACCAGACCCATGAACTGAAGAGAAGAGTCGGCCTGGGTGGGCAGCATTTGGAAAACTGAGAGAAACTTTTAAAAGTGAGCTGCCCACATGCCTAAAGAGAACGGTATTTGATCAGTGCGTCCTCCCAGTCTTGACGTACGGAGCAGAAACACTTACCTTAACAAAAGCAGTACCTACCAAACTGAGAGTCACGCAGAGTAGAATGGAGCGGTCCATGTTAGGAATAACAGAATAACAAACGAAGACATCAGGAGAAGAACCGGAGTGACTGACATCATCGAGAAGATAGCCAGACTAAAATGGAGATGGGCAGGACACATAGCCAGAATGACATATGAGCGATGGACAAAGAGGTTATTGGAATGGAGGCCAAGGGAAGACAAGAGAAGCGTGGGTCGACCACCTACAAGATGGACTGACAATTTAAGAAGACTCAATAAAAACTGGATAAGAGCGGCGCAAGATAGACGGGGTTGGAAACATGAGGAAGAATCCTATGTTCAGCAGTGGACTCTAGAGGCTGGATGATGATTACATGGTAGCAGTCTGTGGTTTTTACATATTTAAGGATTCATTAATCATATGAAATAATAAAACCCCTTTAAACGTTTTAGTTCCTCTTTTCCTCCTATTTTTTTTAACATATTTAATAGCCTAATAGCTCTGATATATTATATTGCAATGAAAGTTGATGTGTATGGCCTGCTGATGAAAATAAATAACATATGGTAACAAATGAAGTATGACGTGCAACGGTATTTGTTTTGCATTTAATACACCTATACATTACTTACTCATTTATAACTGGGACGTCATATCCAAGGTCAATTTTTTCAACGGCGCCTGCAGTGGCTACACTGAGCAAGTAACCTTTGGGTTGAAGAACGTCACTAAGAACTTTTAAAAGTTCGACAAAGTCTTCCTGAAATAAAAATATTCCTTATTTACTGTAATGAATTTTTTAAAGCACGATACATCAGGAGCTACATAGCTTCGTATCATTTACGATTTAGAATAAGATTCTACTGCATGTTGGGAAAGGGTTTTGGGCGTTTTTATTATCAAATAAAACATTAAAATAAATCCATTTGAGATATATCTACTCGAAATTTTGGATGTAGTCCTGTAAGGACTGTTTCTAAGAAACGTTTAAAACAAACTATAGCGATTTGTGCCATTGTGGAATGTATGAACAATGTTCCAGTAATTAAATAGATGAAAGAAAAAATATGTCACAGTAGGCAGTACAGTAGACTAGCGCGTAGTTTCATATTATGTTTTCTATATTTTTAAAATTTAAATATTTTAAAAATTGAATAAGGTAATTTAAATATTTATTTATTATTTATATTTTAAACAAATTAATTCAATAAATTATTAAGTTTGCTCCTAGCGCCACCTATGCCTATTAACAAAGCATAATGTTTACTTTTATTAGACCAGTCAAATTCAAGCAAAATATTTATAAGATATAAATCTTAAAACTTTCGAGCAACCCGTATGCTACACTTTTAGTTAAGTACAACCCGACGTTCATTTTACACCCCTCGAGAGAGGATGACGGTAGTGGCGAAGAGAACACAGTCAACACTCCGAGTCACAACACAACCATCATCGTTACGCTAAGGACAGGACCCTTAAGCTAGCGGGGACAAATGAGCGAAATCCAATTTAATCTACGTAATATTTTTTCACCAATTTTTTACTAATTTATTACCACTATAATAATTTTTCACCGCCAAACCATCCTTAAGGGTAGCGATTCTGCTGGCTTAAGGTTCAAGCTAGCAGAATTCAGAAAAAAACTTTTTGCTTATGGCATATTTTTCATCCATTTTTCACTAATTTATTACCACCTAATAATTTTTCACCACCAAACCACCCTTAATGGGAGCGATTCTGCTGGCTTTAGGTTCAAGCTAGCAAAATTCAGAAAAAAAATTTTTTGCCGATGGCATCTTTTTTAACTATTACAATAATTCTGTTGGGTTAATATATTTAAGGTGATAAATTTATTTTTACAATTTTACTGTACTCTTCTTATAACTGAAAGTATACATTGTTTGCCAGTTTTTTACTGAATTTTATCCACCCTCATAATTTTTGACCCCTAAGCCACAGTTAATGTGAAACATTTAACAAGTTACGCATTCACGCTAGCTAAATGCGAAATCTTTTTGAAAATACAAAAGTGCTCTGCTAGATTTTTACTATATTTTTACCAGCCTAGTCATTGTTTTCTTAACTACCCTAATTAAAAACATTCTAAAATGTTACTGTGTGCTATCAAAAATTTGGTTTTTCAATGTTTAAATATTGAATATATGAAAATACTTTATTAAAAAAATGATAAATTTTAGCTCTTTTAAAAAATTGACTCTGATTATAGTTGTGAGTATAGTGCGTGCAAGCACTCTTGACCACGGCGCAGTAGACGAAATTTGGCTTAGTCTCCACTTCCGTGCGAAACGCATTGTACTATGCACTGTATAATTCCACTTACAATAGAACCTTTCTGCCTTTACTACCTGAATTATTGTACCTGAATTTGGCTCCGCCTTCGCGCAGCTCCATGGTCAAGAGTGCTTGAACTATCAAATCATAAGTCCCTTTTATGAATATAAAATAACGGAAATCAAGTTGAGTTTTAGTAAATACAATGGAATTGTTATATTTCACAGAATAATTAACAGGTAAGAAATATTTAAATTGAAATAATTTTATTATGTCTATTACATTAATTACCTAATTGTAAAGGAGGGTTGGGACACTTTGCGTACCTACCTATTGTTAAAAGATTAAAAGATTTGTATTTATTGGGTAAATCCATAGACCTGAGCGAGGTGTACCGCCAATCAAGAAGTGGGGGCTGCAGTATTAATCGGATTTTAGATTGATACCGTCTTCTTCACTATTATTTAACTTTGGCAATAAATTGCAAATATACCGCCTCTGTACTGTCCCACTGTTTTATGATAAGTACAATATTTTTGAGTAATTTTTAATAGTTGATTTTTAACTCTTGAAATTTGAAAACTTGCATTTTTTACGCCCCCAAAATTAGAACGTAAAGTGTGGAATTTATGCCCAGTGTGTTAGGTGAAAATATGAAGATAGCAAAAAATAGTAAAAGGTTGAAGTAAAACTACAATACAAAACAATTGTTAAAAATACCTTTTATAATTTTGTTTTGTGAGTTCAAAATTCAATCTAGCAGAATTATTAATTGGCTTCCCATAGAGGGTAAGGGTAAACAATTATGAAGGTAATAAATGAAATGGAAAAGCTTTGTAGCACACAGTGGTATTTAAAAATTACTTTCTGTGTTTGAACCTAAGCTATCACGGGTTAGTTGAGAGGCAAACAATTAGTAAAAATCGAGCAGAATCATGTGATATTTCAAAATTTTTATTTGAATTAGATTTTGAATTTGAATTATTTGCTAATATTCGCGCTTCCGCTTAATTGTCTTCTCACAAGAGCAGTTAAGAAGTCAAATTAATAGGGTGGTAATAAATTTGTAAAAACCTATCAAAACACTGTGGTACTTTAAAAATATATTTTTCTTAATTCTGCTGGCTCGAATATTTAGCTAGCGGGAACGTCTCCAAATAAAATTCTTTAGTGGTGGAAAATTATCAGGGAATATAAAAAAAAATTCGTCATAAATTTTAACCTAACAGAATAATTGATTGATAGAATACAGTAAAATTGTAAAAATAGATTTTTCATCCTTAAATTTTAACCTAAGAATTGTTGATTTTCCATATGGGTTAGGTGAGGGTGAAAAATTACTAGGGGGGTAATACATTCATAAAAACCTAACAGAACACTGTGGTATTTCAAAAATAATTTTTATTAATTCCGCTGGCTCGAATATTAAGTTAACAGGAACATTTTCGAATAAAATTGGTTTAGGGGTGGTAATAAATTAGTGAAAAATTCGTGAAAAAATATGCCATATGCAAAAAGTTTTTTTCCGAATTCTGCTAGCTTGAATCTTAAGCCAGCAGAATCGCTCCCCTTAAGGTTGGTTTGGTAGAGAAAAATTATTAGGGTGGTAATAAATTAGTGAAAAAATATTACGTTGGTTAAATTGGATTCCACTCATTTGTCCCTGCTAGCTTAAGGGTCCTGCTAAGGACGCTAGTTTTAAAATTTATCGTTTACAAAATATTTTACATTTTCTTTCAATACAATTTAGTTTAAGTGATTTGTTTTTGTATTATTACGTGAAAATCTAATAAGATTTATATCCCCCTCTGTGGCTCAGTGGTAAGAGCGCCTGCCTTTAAATCTAAAGGTCGTGAGTTCGAATCCCACCTGGGTGGAAATTTTCGTTTATTAAAAAAAAAATTAATAAATGAAAATAATTTCTATCCTTGTGTGATCGGTACATACCGGAGGGACCGCAAACGTTCGGATACAATTAGCGTCTCTTAGCAAAGACAATGACGTCGACTTTGCTAAGTATCAAGGCAATTACTCTACACACACCATCGAGCAATAAGACAAAAGAGGGAATCTAATCCTTATGAAAAGGAGACCAAAAAAGTGGCCTCTGATGGCGGACATATCCGGAAATGCGAATGCGCCAAATTTAAATTTTCCAACACTTATCAACAGTAGCTATATAATATTTCGCAGAATGTGTCTTAGACGAGAAAGATTTAATTAATTATTAACGATAATAGTTTAAAATGCGACACAATTGTTAAAAAACTTCAATATCAATTAGATTTCATGTGACATTTGGGACAAACAATAACATAACCCAACTAAATTTGATGTCAAACAAGGAAAGAGACTCTCCTCTCTGTGGCCTCTAAAGATCGCACTTCCTGTCTAACAATATGTTTGCCCCCACTACCTTTACATTCCCTCTATTATCTTTTTGCTCGATGACACACACACACACACACACACTACACCTCAAATTGTAAGATTGGCTAATGGATTTAGTGTCCGCAGTCATTTAAACACAAACAAACAACAAAATAAGATTTAGCCTACATCTTCCACAATAAATAAATATCATTATTATATTATATATATATATATTATATATATATATATATATATATATATATATATATATATATAATCAATAACCCTTCTACCCTAAGGTGTTGGGTGTAAAGTCTCTTTTAGTTTTCATGTACAAACTTCCTCCAATTCTTCTTGTTGCTTGCCAACTTCTTCGCTTGCTCCTTGGTGACTCCTCTCCTGTCTAGGATGGCGGCAATTTCATCGTCCCAGGTCTTCATGGGTCTGCCCCTCGGTCTTTTCAAGGTTCTTCTCGCTTCCCACACTTGTTTCACTTGGCTTTTTTTATCCATCCTTACCATGTGGCCGTACCATCTCAGTTGGGCTTCTTCGATTTTCTTCTCTATTGACTGGACTTTAAGGCGTTCTCTTATTTCATTGTTCCGTATCCTGTCCATTCTGGTCACCCCTAGTACTCTTCTTAGATACTTCATTGATATACTTTGCAGTTTACTTTTTAGTCTGGTGGTGAGCGTCCAGCTTTCACATCCAAATGTTAAGATAGGTACAAAAACTGTGTTGTAGATAGCTATCTTTGCTTTTTGGGATACTTCTTTTTTCGATAGGAATGTGCTCTTAATTGCGTGGTATATCCGGGAAGCGTTTGCTATTCGATTATTTATCTCTGCTTCTTGTGTACCCTTACTCTCTAGTTGCACTCCCAGGTATTTGAAGGTTTCTACTTGTTCTAAAGTATAGTTATTGATTTTAATGTTTGTATGTTGGTCTGTTTTCCCACATACCATCACTTTGGTTTTACTTTCATTAATTCTCAGATTGCGTTTCTCAAGTTTATCTCTCCATATTTGGAGGTTTCTCTTAAGTGCGTCCTCGTTTCTTCCAAATACGACGAGGTCATCTGCAAATGCGCACTCC